TCTGAGGCAGGGACAACCAGGCTCAGAAGGTGGGTGGAGATCCTGAAGGAAGCTGCGGGAAGCCACTCCTGAGGCAGCCTGTGGGTGGTGGATGTGCTAAAAGTCTGGGAGGGGCATCAAGGAAAAACAGCCCCAAGGCTGGGCTCAGGTCCAATCCTACCTCAAACCCCCAAAGTGGACTTCCTGGGTCACGCCCTCCTATGATTCAGAAACAATCTCAGGCTTGGGTGCCATACTCAAGGTAGGAGGCATCACTCCTTGCTGGCTGTAACGTCCAGGTGACAAAGGGCAGGCACAGGGCGTCAGATTACCTACATGGTGGCCATGGTGGCTTGAAGAGGAATCTGCAAGGAGCAGCCCAGGTGCCTGGAGATGTGCCCCCAGCTGAAAGTTCACCTACAAGTGAAGGTGCCTGGGAGAAGGTCAGAAGGAAATATTCTTGAGCCTATTGCTCAAAACAAGATCCAGTTGGAGAATATCAGAGGAAGCATTTCAAATAGACCAGTGAAATAGGATGGTCATGTCATGTGACTCAGAGCCTTTCAAATCCCAAATAGTGCAATAGACCACCACAATCTGCCTGAGACAGTCCTAATTTTAAAAGTGGAAGTCCAGGGAAACCCTTTAGTTCTGGGTAAGTCCGGTAGGTTAGTCAGCCCAGAGCCATTCTCAGTCCTCCAGTTATGTAGGCAATGGAATTTTAAATGCGGACACACAAAAGAGCAGAGCCGACATCTTTAGGCCTTGCTGGCCACATAGTTTTGAACTCTGGCCTTGACACTGATTGATTGGCTTGTGAATTTTGGCATGCTCTTTTACCTCTGTGAGCCTCTGAGAAGTTCAAATGAGATACGGGGGAGTCATATCCAACATGGTTTAAATTCAACCACATTAAGGGTGCAGTTCATATCTAGTCAACAGTAACCTTGAAAACCCTTCAAATACAAAACCAAGTACAGTTCCAGTACATGGTTCATTGTGATTTGCTTTGAAAATAATTTTATTGGGTTCTTTAATTCTTCATTAATTATTCTTAATGAATTGTTCACTTTCTTCTATTACCTCTCTTATACACGCCACCAGAAATAATGGTTTCACTTTTTGGATCAAACCCTTACAGTCACTCGTAGTTTTCCCAAAGTTTTCGGCCAGCGTGGGCTGCTGGTTCGGGGCTCTACTGTGCCTTCAGGCACTTCTGGGCGCATGCTCAGTCTGGGTAGACTAGTGGGCCATCCTTCGAATTCTCTTTTCTTAAAGACACATGTTAGAATTCTTGCAAAGTAAATGTGTGCATGATGTGACTCCACTGTGAAGACATCAAAGCCCCCCAAATCTTTTTGTATTTGAGGAGGCAGCTCCCAAGTATCCCCTCCCAAGAGAATGACAGTGTGTTGAGAGTTTGGAGCCTGGTCCAGAACTCTGGAAGTGATTCCATTTTGGTGACTCACAGCCACTGTTCTGGAACTCTGCCCAGGTCTGCTCACCAGGCCTCTCATTTCATACACTAATCACAATCAGCATGCCAGAGGTCAGCGGCATGGCTGAGTGAGCACTATAGTTCGATCTGGTTGGATGTAAAGGGCCAGGGTCTGCTCTGGGGAACAGCAGGGTTCCAGAAATTAAGGCTGGTAATGACTTAAGGCAAGAACATTATACCCCTCCCCTTACCATTCAACAGAAGTAGGTAGGAGTAGAGCGTGAGGACAGAGGTACCATTTGCTGGGAAAATATAAGGCACTCAGAACTTTGCAAAGGGGCACCTTGGCAATGCCATGACTTTGGATTGTTTTTTGTTATTTTTATTTTTATTTACTCTTTAGGTTGTTTCCCAGTGATGCTTCTTAATAAAAGGTAAAAACTTTGTGTCATCTGAAGCAGAAATCCCTTACTGGTGCAACAGCAAAAAACTATAAAACGTAAACGCCCATCGGTAACAGAGTGGCTAAGAAAATTATGGTATATACCTATATTATAATACCATGCAGCCAATAAAATGAACAGAGGAGGCATTGGTTCTCCTATGAAACTCCTGAGGCATATTAAGTGAAAAAGAAACAAACAAGGAGCAGAACAAGAACAGGAATCCTACCATTTGTAAAAGGGGGGAAAAGGAGCCATGGAGATAAGTACATATAGACAGGCTTGTATTTGTGTTGCGTATCAGCAGTGGTTGCCTCTGTGAAGGGGGATTAGGAATAGAAGGAACACTTGCTTTTCACTCCATGTCCCTTTGTAGTTTGAATTTTTTTACACATGCTTGTAAACTTAAAAAGAATATGAAATCCCAATCACTAGGAAACTAAAAAACAAAGAAACAAAAACCCCTCACAAGTATCTTACCTGTATTAAAGCAAAGTGGTAATAGAATTCCTTGCTACTTGTCTGCCCTCCCCTCCCCTCCCCTCCCCTCCCCTCCCCTCCCCTCCCTCCCTCCCCTCCCCTCCCTCCCCCCCCCCCCCCCCCCCCCCTCCCCCCCCTCCCCCCCCTCCCCTCCCCTCCCTCCCCCCCTCCCCTCCCCTCCCCTCCCCTCCCCTCCCTCTCCTCCTTTGCTCTTCTTTTCTGGCCAGAGTTTTGCAGTCCTTAGGTAGAGTAGTCCATATTTTGAGCTGGACTATTTCCCACATACTAGTGAAAGGAACGTTTTTTTCAACAGTCTTTCAAAGACAAAGTATACATCAGTTCCTGACAGTGCCTAGATTGGAACTTAGAGTTACAGCGGCCATGCTCATTTTATAATAATCCAATAGAAATTTCCACTTGACTCTAAGAAAATGAATGTGTAATAAAGGCCAAAGAGGAAAATAACTTCACAAAACAGTGTCAGATTTCTATGAGTAGCTAGGGTTAAGCCAAGTATTTGAAAAACTGTGGGATCCCAAATTTATAGACAGAGAAAACAGGAGTCGGGTTTATACCTGGGCGATCAGACTTGGGTGAGATTTAAGTTTTACTGTGGGGGAGAAAAGTTTACTGTGGGAAGACCCTCATTCACTGTACCGGCTTTAGTGAGCCCTGCTCAGGTGTTGGCAGGCACAGTGCAAGGTGCAGAGGTGCAAAGGGAGGCGCAGCCGGAGCGTTTCCCTGCCCCCGCTCCATTTCCCCCGTTGCCGGCAACATCCCGATTCTCCTTCGGGAAAGCGCTCGCTCTGTACTCTAGGTTCATTCGGTTCCTCCAGGAGAGTTCAGACTTGTGCACTGTCACCCAGGCGTGACACTGATGTCACCCAGGGCCACCACTGAGCACAGGTACCGGAGGCATACTTGGAGTATTCTAAGTTCCTGGTCACAGTGTGGCACAAGGGATGAAAAGGAAAGCCATCTGGGACTTCCGTGGAAACATCGAGAAGGTGAGCAACGCCCTCCAAGGAGGCCGAAGCTGTGAGAACGGGAGACCCTCGGTGATCTGACAAGGAGGCCCGCGGAAACGGAAACCAAGCCGAGTGGAGAGGGGCGGAGTCCGGGTGCCCGTTGCCTGAATGCTAGGTCCTGCTAATTGGAAACAGACCCACCCTCGGACTCTTGAAGTGCTAGGAACTAATAATGATTTCTTTTTCTTTTTTAGCTTAAGTCGGTTTGAGTAATATATTTGTCACTTGAAACCAGGATGCTCCTGACAAATCAGATAAAAGATTATTCTTTCCTCTAAGGCACTGCAGTCCTTTGGGGAGAGGCAGGCGCAGAACTGAGCATTAGTGACCTTATCATGAGACAGAGGTGTGTTCCTGGTGTGGTGGGAATAAGAAAGGCTCAGATAATGTGCTAAGACATCTTAGAGCTGTAAGGAAGTTTAGTTTATCTGAACGAATCCTCTCATTCAAATAGAGGCTGAAGCCTAGACTTATCCAAGAGATGCCAAGTGACTAAGAATGCTTCTGGACTGTGTTCTACCCCTCTAGTGTGAAAGCATTTTTAAATTTTTTCCTTATAACCAAAGATTAGACATATTAATTATAGAAAAATTAGAAAATATAAGAAAGGCCAAATTTATAAAAGAGACCCCCCAAATGAAATTTATTTATAAAAATTTCTGCTTATTCCTATATGTTTAAACTTTAGTCATCTTCAAAGTACTCTCCATTTGATGCAATACACATATTGAGACATTTTTTCCACTACTCCAAACTGTTTTTGAACTTGTTGATTTTGATGCCTTTTAGTGCTTCTACCATTTTTTGTATCATCTCTTCTACATCAGCAAAAACATTTCCCTTTGAGGACTTTTTTCATCCAAGGAAACAAACAAAAAAAAGTTGCTCAGGTGAATAGGGAGGGTAGGGCATGAGGATCATGTTATTTTTGGCCAAAAACTGCTGAATACTCAGCGGTGTGGACAGATGTGCTTATACATCACCCATCATGAAATGGTCAAAGGTCTTCAAAGAGAATTCACTTAAGCCAAACTCAGCCTCTGACAACAATACCATCTAGACACAGATGGGTTTCTGGAACACTCACTGAGTGAGGAAAGCCTGTACTATAAGGAGCCCACCCTCCAGAAGATAATTTTGCTTTGGAGTGTCCCTGCTCGTAGAAGAAAGGTCAAAGAATGACATAAGAGTCCTCCATAATGCTCACTCGTCGAAACACTAATCAGATGGTGCCATGTTCTTGCCCAAACTTTTTCATGGCTCCCTACTGCTTCCTGACTACAATTCTTCATGCAGGTATTCACATACCTTAAGATATGACTCCTAAGCCATATTTCAAAAGCTCTCTCCCTAATTCACCGGTTCCAATGCACCTAATGCTGTAGACCTGGCTACCCTTCACCGAGGGAACCCCCTCATCAGTCATTGCATGCCTTCACCCACATTGTTCCCATTTTCAAGAATGACATTCTTCCCCATCTCTACCAGTTGACACCGCTTCTTAAGGCTCAACTGCCACTCCCTCCACAGAGCTTTCCGAGCTTATCCCAGCGAATCTCTCTGGTTTAGGTTATAGTTGACCATGAGGTGTCAGATGCCCCTGTGGGCTCCTTGAAGGCAGAAACACATCTCGTGTTCACTTCAGCAGCACACACACTAACACCGGAACGTTACAGAGAAGATGAGCATGGCCTCTGTGCAAGGATGACACACAAATTCATGAAGCACAGACATGTCCCACTGAGCTTCCTCTCACCAACCCCTCTGGGCCTTGCACACATGCATCACCAATTAAATATTTGTGTGATAGCATTTTTCATGCATTAAACTTACAGTTTACTAATCTAGCTGGACTGCATTTAATTGAGTCAGCATCTTTCATTATGTTACTATACAGAAGTCCTCCCTTATTTGTAATCTCACTTTCTGCAGTTTCCATTACCCATGGTCAGCGGCAGTGCAAAGGATATTGAATGGAAAATTCCAGAAATAAACATTCATATGTTTTAAATTACACTCTGTTTGGAGGAGTGTGATGAAATCTCGAACCATCCTGCTGCATCTTGCTCGGGATGTGAGTCATCCATCCCTTTGCCCAGAGTATCCATGCTGCGCACGCTACCTGCCTGACCATCGCCTAGCTGAGGTCTCCGTCATTATATCGACTATCATGGTGTGGCAGTGCTTGTGTTCAAGTGATTTTTATTTTTGTTAATAATGTCTCATTTATCTCATTCATCTCATCACATACACAATGTATCATCTGATCTTTTTTGTTAATAGTTGTTGTTAATCTCTTACTGTGTAATTCATGAGGTGAACATTAACAAAGGTGTGTATGTGCAGGAAAAACCATAGTATTGATGGGTTCGGTGCTATTCCAGATTTCAGGCATCCACTGGGGGGGGAGGTCTGTGAAAAAGGGGGGGACCACTGCATTAGCCACTCTGTCCTTGAACCCAGCCTTCCTTGGCAATCAAAAAGAGGCTCTTGGGGGGTGGGATGGCATCTGCAGTCAACTTCAGTTTGAAATACAGCCTTTCAGCATTTATTGATGGTGCAGAATTCCACACCATGTTTAGAGAAATTCTGGAAACTGATTTGAAATGGAAAATTATAGTTTATTTCAGGGAAACATGAATAAGGGTTGTCCTAAAAAAAACTGGACTACGTACACACATTTATGGTTTCCTCTCACATTCCATCAACACACACAGAAATCTGTGTGTCCAGTGCAATCCTTTCCTTACCCAAACTCCATGACATGAGTCTCTAGTGTACAGTTGGCAAAACAACTTTGAAAGGAGCTTTAGAACAGCTTGACTTGGTGCTGAAACCTCAGGACGAGATGAACCAAGAGAGCCTTGTCCAACGGTTAAATTGCTTTTTATCCACTTCACTCTGCCAGAGGCAGCTGAAGCATGTCTCTCAGTGTTTCTTTACACACCGTGGGTACTTGGTATGAAGTCAACATCCAATACTTGCCAATAAATAAATCTCCTCTACAAAAGAACAAAAACAAAAACAAAAACACTCCACTATATTTCCTAGCCTGACTCACCATGTTTAATGTGCAGGATTACAGGAATATTTAGGACGTATGGGTTTTTTTAAAAAATGAGAGCTGTCATTTAAAACCGTCTAAGGAGTGTCCGTCTGCATCTCAATGAGAAGCCCAAGAACCTCCTTCATGGGTCACTGTGCTTGCCACCTCCTGCTGGTCAGACTCCGAGCTGGACACTGGGATACAGAGAAGGACCACACCCGTTCACTGTCCTCACAGCGCTGACAGTGCTGTGGAAAAGACACACCTGTAAAATAAATTCTGTGTAATCAGGGAATTCTGCATATCACATGGAGAAAACAGAAAAGAAGGTTGCAGGGATGCCGGGGCTGAGCAGATAGAATAGACTTCACAGACTTCATAAGGCATGTGACGTGTGAGCTGGATTTGGGAGGATAAGCAGGACTTCAAAAGTGGATGGGGACAAAGGGCAGCCCAGGCAGATGGAGAGGTATGTACAGAGGCACAGCAGCATGAAAAAACCTGCTCGGTGTAGGGAATTACAAGTGCTTCAGGGGATTACCATGGAAACATAAAGTGGGTGGCAGGGGAGAGGCGGGGTGAGGCTGGTGGGAAAGGAAGGACTGAGGTTACAAAAGATGCAGCTCTTGGTGCAGGCCAGAAGCTTCAGCTCTGCTCCAGTCGTGATGGGGAGCCAGTGCAAGGTCTTGTGCCATTAGCAGCACAGCCAGACTTGTACTTTAAAATGCCTCTGTAGGGGAAAGTAACCATTGCTATTGGATAGTTTTGAATTGACCTTGCAGATCCACTTACTCCTTGCTCTGTGCCCAGGAGGCTGACCTCGGCAGACAGCATCCACGGGCTTCCTTCCCCGCAGCTTGCTTGCACTTGGCAGACTCTGGCAGGAACCCAAAGGACAAGAGGAGCAGTTAGGTACTGTATTATTCAGGGTTCTCCAGAGAGACAGAACCGATGGGAGAGTGCATTTATGTAGTTATACACACATATATGAATGCATGTATCTAATTATGTATGCATATAGTTCTACATATGTACATGTATATACATATGTATGAGAAAGAGAGAAATTTTAAGGAATAGCCATATTTAACTGTGGAACTGACAAATTCAAAATCTGCAGGACAGGCAGCGGGCTGGAGACCAAGGGAGATTTGTTGCGATCTTGAGTCCAAAGGCAGTCCCAAGGCAGAATTCCTTCCTCCTCAGGAGCCCTCAGTCTTTTTTCCTATTAAGGCCTTCAACTGATTGGGTAAGGCCTGCCCACATTATGGAGGGTAACCTTCTTCACTTGACGTTTACTGACTTATTGTTCATGATATCTAAAAAAATAACTTCACAGCAACACTGAGACTGCTGTTGAACCAAAAATTGGATACTATGGCCTAGACAAGTTGATGGATAAAATCGACCATTACAGGTAGTTATTGCCTTCACTCCCTGACTGCCAGGCTGTGAGTTGGTACTGGCCACCATCCTTCCTGCTGGCTGGCACTGACCTTCAGCTACAGTTCTGTCCTTGACCTTTTGACACAAATGGTCAAGCATCTTGTCATTGCCAACCCTGGATTATCTTAACCCTGCCCACAACTTTATAGATAGTCCCTTCATCAGATTCTCCTCAATGATACCACTTCATTATTGCATTTTTTGGCTGTCAGGATTCTGACATTGACTCTTGTCATTGTAGGGTTCATAATCTTAAAAAAAAGAAAACAATGCATGAGCCAATCAGACACAAATCTTCAGCAGACTGTAAGCCCTACAGGGTGTGAATCATTGTTTTGTTCAGTGATCTATGTGTCTGTTACACAGTAGATGCTCAATAAATATTAATTGAGTGGATGAACAAATAGATCTTCAACTTTAGGAAAACAAACTTTAGAAGTTCCTAGAAAAGATATATGCAAATCCTTGGCTAGAAGCCCCTAAGGAGGATAACATGTTTAAGAGGGGTATTGTGTTCTAAAAATGAAAATTTAGAAAATAAAACTGCAAATGAATTCAATGAGAATAAAGACAACTTTCTTGACAGCTCTAAACGAAGAAATATGTAGCTACATAGGTAGCTTTCTGAATGAAGAGACATATTTGAAAGAACACAAACAACAGAAATCTAGAAGAAGCAAGATGTGTTGCTTAGTTAAGGACAAATCCCAGACCGACATAGCCTTCTGTGAAATGTGTCAAGAAGGCTATAACCCAGAATGCGTGGAAACACTACCGGGGACAGAAGGACCCTGTCAGCACAACGCTGGAACAAGAGAGGGAACAAGGAGGGCAAAGGGTGGGGGGTGGTGACAAAATCGCCCAAGCACCATTTGCAGTTCTCTTTTCAACAAGTCTTCAAATGACACATGAAGGGTACTCACTGTAAAGAGGGGAATGATACTCCGGGTGGGCAGAAAAACAGAGGCCACTGGCTGGTTAAAGATACTCATTTTCTTATCTTCAGACAAACCCCAGACCAAGGCTAAAAGAAACGGCAGATGCGATTTCTGAGACGTTACTGGTCACCTATTTCACCTCAGGGGTCTTCAAACACTGTCTCTCTGCCTGGAACACGAATGGGCCTTGCTACCTACCTGACCTTACCAGGCCCTCAGCAGAATCAGGTCTCTCCTGGGAAGTCTTTCTGAGTCCTCAAGACTGCTTAGTGCCTTCCCACCTGCTCTCCCATGTGGTCCTTCTCTGAATGGCCTCCTAAGGGGACTCACGCTGAAACGTGGGAAAACAGCCCTGCAGGCTCCACTGCCTCCCTCCACAAAAGCTAAATTCATGAGACAGGTGCTGGTGAAAACAAAAGTGTTTTCACTTCAGGGGCTGGCAACCTGAGAAGATGGCAGGCTCATGCCTCAAAAACCATCTTAATGACTCAGGTAGGCTGAGATTTTTATAAGGAAGGAGAGAGGGGGCAGCAAGGAGAGGAGGGTGGAAAGTTCTCCATGTACAGGCTGGCAGGGTCATTTCTAGTAAGGACCTCAAAGCTGGCCTGGTATGTGTCATCCTGGTTTTTTTCTTTTTTTCAACCCAAGCATGTGCCCTGACTGGGAATCGAACTGCAATTGTCTGGTTTGCAGGCCCGCGCTCAATCCACTGAGCTACACCAGCCAGGGCTGTCTTGTCTATTTTTTTTAAATTTTTTTATTGATTATGCTGTTACAGTTGTTCTATTCCCCCTTTCATTCCCCTCCACCCTACCCCCCACCCCACCATTACCCCCCCTTTAGTTTATGACCATGTGTCTCAAGTCCTTTAGATTCTATATTTCCCATGCTATTCTTGCCCCCCCATCTATTTTCTATCTACTGTCTATGCTACTTATTTTTCTGTACCTTCTCCCCCCTTCTCCTCCTCCCACTCCCCTGTTGCTAACCCTCCTTGAGATCTTCATTTCTATGTATCCACTCCTGATCTAACTGTCCTTTTAGTTTGCTTTCATTTTAGGTGTGGTTGTTAATAACTGTGAGTTTGTTGTCCTTTCACTGTTCATGTTTCTTTAACTTCTTTTTCTTAGATAAGTCCCTTTAACATTTCATATAATAAGGGCTTAGTGATGATGAACTCCTTGAATTTGATCTTATCTGAGAAGCACTTTATCTGTCCTTCCATTCTAAACGAAAGTTTTGCTGGATAGAGCAATCTTGGTTGTAGGTCTTTGGATTTCATGACTTGGAATACCTCTTTCCAGCCCCT